GGCCGGCCCCCTCGGGTGTCCCGCGGCCCGAGGTCCCCGTCAGACCCCGCCGGGGCGCGGGCGCATCCCGGGCGGGAGAGGGGATGGAGGTGACGAGGGAGTCAGCCCGCCCGCCTCGGCTCGGTGGCTGCCCCTCGAGGCAGACGGGCCGTTAGAGGGAGGCCTCGGTGGGAGAGACCGGCGTGGGTCTGGGGGAGAGACACTCACTTTTCCTCCACGTGGGTGAGGGAGAATTTGAGGCCCAAACTCTAGGCGGTCTCTGGCTCGAAGTCCGCTTCAAAATGTCACTTTCTTTTTTTTTTTTTTGCTGCAAAACAGCAAAATTTGCCATCTTTCTTGCAGTTTTGTGTCGTGTGTCATCACTGTCACAGAGTAACACGCAGCATAAATTTATGTGTGCAGCCCTTTGGTGAAGGAGGACTAGGGGGTAGTGCTTATAAGCTGCTGTCAGCAGAAGGCGGCAGCAGGGAATGAGAACTGTAATCTCCAAGTTGGGCTAAAATCTAGTGTTCAGAACAAAAGTAATGTGGTTGATACAGAATAGCTTTATACTTGAAAGATAAACTTAATCTAGGGTGTCTAGCAGTCATTTTATGTAGTTACTGGAGTAGGGGGTGTTATTTGCGTGTTGCTTTATGCAGTGTGGGTTTTTTTCTGGTTAGAGCACTTATCCAGAAAGTGAGGAATCGGGACCACATCCCCCACAACCTGTGGAAGTGCTGCTTGTGAGACGACAGGCAGGTTCGAGGTGGTCCACACCACTGCTGCTGAATTTTTTTACTGCTCAGCAGCATTTGTGAATCCAAGTGTAATTCGGTGACAAAGGCATTCAGGTTTGCTTTGGTGTCCGTTGTAGGCTATCAGTGACCACGGATGTGGGCTGTCTGGTTATTGAAAATGTGACCTGTCCCAATGGTGAAAGGACTGCCTTTTCAAGAGTTTGTTACTGGATTCCACTACTCCTGAAAGACAGAGATTCTGTTTAAAAGTTGGCGTAATAGCGTTGATTTGGAGAAAGGGTGTATTTTGTTCCACAGGTATCCCGGGTGCAAGTTTGTTGGTTATGTGTTGTAGCTGCAGGTACTCACTGTAGTTGCATCATACCAGGTACCTGGTGTTCTTACATTGACAATATCTGACTAGTCCCAAGAAAGCTTCAGTGTGGTAAAGTATTGCAACTCTGGCTAGCAAGTGCGCTTGGGAGATGAGAATTTGGCAAGCTCTGAAATTTCTTAGGGTAAAGGAGAAGAAACTGGAAACCATAAAAATTGCTAAACTCAGTTATGCTTATTTGGGGAGGGTTGGCTCCTTTAGGGGTGCAACGTGAATGGAATGACTCCAGGTTTGGGCAGCTCACTTACAGGCTTGTGTGTTGTCTTTCCTCTTTTTTTTTTCCTTTTGATGTCCTGATCTTCAGAGTGGTTGGGCAACCAAAGACCGGTACACCTCTACCGGCTTCTGATGATACAGATATGAACCTGGGACAAAGAATAAATGTTTGGTGGGAATTGGTGTGTTAATGTTTATAGTTGACCTTATTCCCTATTCCTAGTGGAGTTCCTGATGCAGCTTCATATTACACTTAATCTCTTCCAGTGACAGGTTGTTGTCTGCCTCTGTCTCTCTTAGTTCAAATCTAGAAATCACGTGGCCTTGAGATGAGTTGTTTTCCGCTGCTGCTCTGATGGAAAGTGAACAGACCTTGCCAGGAAAAAAAAAAATGTTGATTTTTAACAAGGTGAACTTACTTATATGGAAGCACAGGGTTGCCCGTTACGATGCAGGTGAAGTTGAAGTGCACTGTGATGGGTGATGCAGAGAACAGAAATGTCCTTTTGAGTAGTGTCCTGCAGTCAGGCTGCGTATGAAATTGTAGTCTCTGTTAATTGTCCAAAGCTGATCTAAAACTGCTCAGCGACTGGGTGGATTGTTTTGCACACCCCTTTTTTCAGTTCTCCTCGTCCTTACCTTAGCTCTGGCTGCTGACGGTTGGAGGGCCAGTTGGATTAGTTAGCTGATCAGACAGCAAGCTAATTTTATTTTTTTTTTTTTAACTTTAGCTTTTAGTTGAAGCAAATATGTGTAGGAAAGAGCAGGAGGGAGAGGTGGGACTTCCTCTTCTAGTGGCAGTGCTGACTTATTGCAGAACTGTTCTGTGCCTGATGCTGCTGAGGGTGTACAGAAGTCTCTCAGAACGGTTAGATTCTTGGTATAGCTAAGCATAATGTTTTTACACAAACAACCTCTTCCTTCAGTACTTCAGAAGTACTTATTTCATCTATGTCAAAGATGTTTTCTACGGAAAGCGACCACTTTATCTTTAGACGTTTTCTTAAGAGCAGCTACCAGTATTCTGAAGAAACTTCACTAGATCACAGTTCACCTCTCTCCCTCTTGGATTAGTCCATGTGACTCATGTTCTGTTTCTGGGGAGGAATGCTATTATGTTAGTAATAGATTTAAATATGTGAATCTAAGTAACACCAAGTCCTAGGAGATCTTCTGTTCTTATGGAGGAGAAGAAGGAAAAGTGAAAAGGCCAAGTGCTGCAAAATTAGTTGAGTTTATACAGCAGTTAATGATATTCTTATTACATTCTAATGTTTTCAGGATGATGCTGTTAGTATTGAAAGCGGTACTAACACCGAACGCCCTGATACACCAACAAACACTCCTAATGCACCGGGAAGAAAAAGCTGGGGGAAAGGAAAATGGAAGTCAAAGAAGTGCAAATATTCCTTCAAATGTGTAAATAGCCTAAAGGTAAGGATGTGTAAGCTTCAACATGGGAATGCTGGGTACCACTTGCTGGCAGTAATGTTAATGTTGACTGTAAGACAGTGTCAGGATAGATATTTTTAAATATCTGTATGCAATTATGTTCCGTGCTCATTTGGAAAGTACCTTTCTTGGAATAGCTGAAGTTTTGAAGAAAAAGGGTACTGAGAAGTAGGAAACAGTAGGTAGTGCTGCAATTAACCCAATTTTTGTATGGGTTTGCAAAGTTATGTGTGATATGTTATAATTATGTATTTCATTGAAGCTGTAGTTGCTTGAGATAAAGATAAGAAACTGGATAAACAAATTCAAATAAAACAAAACCTGTGACAACTTGATGCAAAGCACAGAACCTGTACAGATTTTTCTACCTGTTGAAATGTATTTAAAAAAAAAAAAACAACAAAGCAACAACAACCCAACAATCTTGGAGTAGCTTTTTCCTCACACTTACCAGACCAGATATTTTCTGTCCTCTGGCAATTGTCATAAATGCTATATAGTGCAATTTGGTTAATTTATCATAAGCATTGTGATTATGTGTTCGCACCTGATCTAGGTCATGTTTATCTTCCCGCATAACACCTGATGGTATTAAGGGATGTGGATTCATGGTCTTTACTCCCCGTTCTTGTGTTTTAGGGTATTACTGTTTTCTTCTGCACTGGTGACAGACTATGGTGAACTGAATGAATTTTTTCTTTGATTCTTTTACACTGTCAGGATGTTTTTCTTTTCATTCCCCAGCCTTGTGTGGGGTATTTATGTGGCAAAAGCTGTAAATGTGCCATCTGATTTGATTTTTATAAGATTTCTAAATAAAGGAAAGATTTTGTCTGGAACAAGATGGGAGTTTTGTTAAACTTTATATTTAGCTAACGAGGATGCGTGCAGCTCCATAGCGGGTATTTTCTGCAGAATGACTTTAAGAGGTTTTTGTCATTCCCCCACGCTTCGCTGTTGAGCTGTGCTGATGTAGCTGTTTCTGAACTTTGGCTTCAGACTGCCTCACTGAAATGCTGGGGTAGCTGAGCGGGAGGGGATGAGAGGTTTGGAGCATGGAAGCCTCATAAAGGAGTTTTGCCACTGGAAAATTGTGATATGAAGTTATACTGACAAAAGTATCTGGGAAACAAGTTGATCTTAATTTTTATACTTCAAAAAACACATTATCTCCAGTTCTTTCAGGGTATAGGAGGAGGGGAGGCTCTTTCATTTTCACCTCAGTAGGCAGCTGTTTCTGCGATTTGCACGAATCGCCCCTGCAGGTAGTGCTTTTTGTGGCTTCAAGACATGCTTCAGACACAGGCGCAGGCCTTTCAGCACCCAAACATTTAACAAGTTCTGAGTTTTGCTAAGCATATTTGTTTTCTGTCTGCAGACCAAATATTCCAAAGGGGGTAGTACTTTTCAAGTGCCTTCTGGGAAAACAGAACAATCCCTCACCCCAACTTCAACCCAGGCCCCACTATAGGGTAACCCTATGAAGTTAAGCAATCCCTGACTTCTGTGGATTTGGATCAGGGCCTGGGACCAGATTCCTGTGCAAGTGGAAGCAAGCTGTTCGGGAGTAAATGTAGCGTTTCAGCAAAGTGGGATATTTTTATTATCTTTTTTTCCCCATTTCTCTTTGAACTGAAATTAATGCTAATAATAACAAATATGCATGTTAATATAAAGACTAGGTAGCAGCCAAATTTGGTAACTCCTTTTTACTTCATGTTTGAGGAAGCCTCTCTCTTCTTTTTCCTGTTCCTCCATACTAATTTTGCAGATACTGTGGAGATAAACTCTTAACGATTGAATGTTGTATGTGGATTCAGGAAGACACTTGTGACTCTTTGGATATCACATCATATATCCCATAGTTTATATGTCTTTGAACTATGCTGTAAGGTGCATGTACTGAAAATAATGAAAAGTCAACATGATTTAAAGACATGGAGATTAATTTTGATGTTCTTTAGGGATGTATAAATTATGTGTTTTTCCACTTTCCTTCTCTTGCTTTTCCCTTTTATTTTGCTTTTTACTTTTTTTCTTAGGGAAACAAAGAAATATGGCCATTACTGTCTGCTTTGAATGTTAAATGGTTATGATTCAGCCTGAAAAACTCAGTGCTTGCTAAATATGCTTTTTAAACACTACTGTGGAAGTTATTTTGGGTGAAATTTAAGCATCAGGAAAACAAAAATATAACTTGGAAAATGACAGGAAATAAAAAACTGTCCCTTTTTCTTTTTTTTTGCTTTTTGCAGTACTAAGTTAAACTGTCCCTTTTTCTTTTTTTTGCTTTTTGCAGTACTAAGTTACTGTAAGGTGTACTGGAAAATCTTTGCTCTCTGTGGGCTGAATGGAAATGTAGTTTATAAATGAGCATATACAGCTAACAGACGCACATCCTCACATACATCCATATATGTTTTGCTTATAAATCTTCCAGCAAAGAACTGTGTGTATTCTGCTTTGATGTGCTCCCTTTAAAACAATGCTATTATTTGCCCTGCCTTTGCTCTTGCTTAGGGAGTGGCTCAGTGGTTGTTAGCAGTCCAGTGTTTTCTCTCGGCTTCTACTTGCTGTCCCCTGAGCTGGGAATCAGTAACCAGCCACATGCAGGATTCTAGCTTGTTGATGTGTAAAGGAGAGGTAACTAAAACCACTGCCAATAATGGCTTGCTTCCACTTCTGGGAACTGGAAATGCATGTGTGGTCAGTTGGTTCCTTGCTGGCAGTGTGGGTGACAGCATATTAAAATGTGTTCATGTAGTTGCAGGTGATTATTTTTTGTGTTGGCATAGTATTTACTTCACTGCCTTCAGTCTAAAAACAGGTCTAGTCTTATTATCTGACTGAACCTGAGTTGGCGTTGAGTGAGTAAGGGCAGAACTAACCACTGATTATTTATTGATTTGTTTTTGTAACAACTGTAGGTCTATTTTCTCCTCCGCCTTCTTTCTCTGGTGCATGACGAACCTGAGTACTTTGGGTTTTGTGCCCTTTATTCATGCCAGGGTCAAGATGTCATTTCACCATCCTACTTTTGGACCAGCATCTGGGTCACTCTTCTGTCTGTACAAAGCAGTGGTCAGATTTGTGTGATATACTTGGCATCTCAGGATAACCATAATGTGCAGCACCTAAAAGTGTAATGTTTTTAAAAATCTGCTTCATTGTTTAGCACTTGGGACAAAAATTGGAGCGGACAAGTATTATCAAAATAGCTATGTGCTGTCTCTGACCAGTGAGGATGATGGTAGTTTAAATGAGTTGAGCATAACTTCTTCAGATATCCTACTGACTTCTTGCAAGAGCCTCTGCCTGACCCCTTCATCCATTAAACACCAGAAAAACTGCGATATGTACGGTCAGGCTCTTGGAGGTTGTAGCACTCGATGTGAGGAATGTAATGCGGATGATGTAAGTAGTCTAAAGACATTTGTCTCAGAGTAATTTTTCCAGGGAAATAGGTTGTCTTTGGAAAAGCTTACTAAATACTTTAGATATGTACTCAAATACAGAAATATAGGAACAGTATAGTCCTCTGTTTTATCTCTCTACTTACTACGTATCACCCTAGTCTGGGTCCTACCTAGAAAATCACAAACTTATCACAACTTAGGCTAGCAAAATATTGTATCTTGAGGGGGAAGAACATCTTCCTCTTCACTTTTCTCATTTCACTAAATTTATCAGAAACAGTGCACATGACAGAGAACAAGGTTATTCCAGAAAAACAAGCACAAAACCTGCTAATATATCTCTGTAATAAAGCAGTAAGAATCCGTGCATTTTACCTGTGGTATCTTCATGCAGTATGTCAAAAGCCCTCAGTATTCACCAGCATGGACTCTTTCACACAGAAATTCAAAACCAACTAATTATTAGTGGAATTTTTTTTTTAAGTATTCTGTATTTGAACTCTCAGCCATTCTCTTCGAGACTTAAATACACTCAAAAAATAAGCCTAGAAAGTAAAATTCATGACTTTATTGGACACTAAAAATCATGGCCTTGCGTATGCAATTTTATGGCATACAGTTTTCCTCATTCTTCATTTCTAATTAAACTGTAATGCTTCATAGATGCTGAATACCTGCTTTTTCCTTCTGTCGTGGGGTCACTAATAACCTTGCTTCTTTTCCCTTTGCTAATATCCCATATCCCTCATCACATAAAGCCACTGGTCTGTTCTTTCATGTTATGATGGGTAATACTTCAAGTTAAACTTTGAACAATTCTCTTTAATCTGTATGCAGCTTTGAAAGTTGTTACCTCTCTTTAAGAATTGCAGGAGGGCCTTCATCTCTGAAAGATTTTCTCCTTTCTCTTTCTAGCTCTTCTAGCCATGTCTGTTAATAACAGATACTGCCTTTCTCAGTAAATAATGCTATTTTAAATTCTTCCAGACATCCTTACTTTTCTTTTTCTGAGTAGTGTTGGACTCTCCACCCACACCCCCTCCTCAAATTTATTCTTTGGTTCTTGGCTAGGCCAGAGCTGCCAGGGCTAATATTTCTCGTGTTGTCTCTGAAGCACTGCCATTTGAAGGCTGCTTAACAGCCGTCATGAGACACTTCCTTCCTGCCTGCACTGTCCCAGACAGTCCCCTGTGGGGAGGCACTTTAATGAACATTATTCTTACTGAAAACATCCTGTCAGGACAGGCCAAAATACTGTTATCAATTATTAACAAGCACCGCCATATTCATCACAATTCATAAACATATCTGCTTCTCTTTTTTCCTTTATTAAACTGATGTAAGCTGTATAAAAATAATACTTGGCATTTCGCTGGTAACTGTTTGTGAAGGCGATCTGAAAACACTTCATAGACGTGAACTTTGCAGCAGCATTGTAACATGCTGGAGTGAGTTTGTCGTGTCTGTGATAGCGTTGCAAGACTTAACTGTGCTGTAATAGTTAAATGTGGGCCTTCTCCACCCTTATACCAGTATAATTCTTCTCTGTCCTAATAATTCTTCTCTGTGAAGTTGTAAATCCTTGTGTGGAAGTAATTATGACAGTATAAAATGCATATAGATGTGGACTTAGATGCAGAGGTTGCCTTGTTGAAAATGGCAAAACAAAGTAGTAGAGCTGCAAATATAACTCAGGAGTTCTGCCAGCTTCTGGCCATAACTGTGAGACAACTTTTCTTCCCCTTCACTTTTTAAAAGCTTGGGGGGGTGGGGAAGAAAGAGGTGGGGGGCGGAATATTCCTTTAACCTCTCTTAAGACAGCCAAGTTAAAATGTGATGTTATAAAACTGTTCTTTTTAACTGTTCACTATCTGAAATTATACTGGATATGAACCCAGTAGTTTGAGGAGGAAAACATATCAATTAAACTGTTTACCACCACAGCTGAATTTCACAGAAATAATAGGCCTGTGGGTTTTATTTTTTTTTCTCTAATCTTACTTTACATCTACAGGAGGACCATGGTCAGCCTTTGTTTGGAGTCCAGTTTAACTGGCACAGTAAAGAAGGTGATCCTCTTGTTTTTGCCACTGTAGGCAGCAACAGAGTGAGTAATCTGTTTTTAACCATAAGCTCTTCCCTGTGGTTCCGCTTGCATTTTTTTTTTTTCAACCAGTCCCTTTACCTGTGTTTAGTACGGACACAGGATACATCATACAGAAAGCTTTATTTCTGAGGTACGTAGCATCTGTTATCTGGGAGAGTTGCATCCTCTGGATTGTTTTATGAAGTCATGTGTTAGCTATTTGGGAATTAGCCTATATAGTAAAGAAAAAAATCCTTCAGTAATATAAACATGGGATAAGGAAGAGAGGCGCATAAATGTATCTTTGCACTAAAATTACTCTTCATAGATGTTATTGTTTCCAAAAGGTCATATGCTCTAAAACGGGATGGGAAGTGTCTGCAATGATGCCAGGCAGCTCAGTAGCTAAATTAATGGCCTGTGTGGAGTGAATTTATAGGCTTTTTCTGAACAAGGATCTATGTCATTTCAGTCTTGAAAATAACTCCTGAAGTGCATTCTGTGCAAGTGTTGTTTAAGAAGCCTTTCACTTCCAGGTTTGTTCCACCTGGCAGTTACCAAAAGTGCTAAACTAGGATTAAACAAGGTATCAGTGGCTCATTAAAAGACCAAGTCACATTAGAGGTGGCTGCAGTAACTAATTCCAAATAGAGTTTAATCTTACTAAGACAATTCGAATAATAGATTTTAATACAGGGGAAGGACTGCTGACAAGTCCTGGAGTGGTGCTTTACTGAGACCGCTGTGAGTGTTCTTTTATCAAACCATTTCCACCTGTTGGAAGCAAACATATGATGGATGAGATCTAAACCACAAAGGCACAGTACCTCCCCCCATCAGGAAGTCAGTACACAGGTGCATGTGATTTCCTTTTGAAATAACACAAGTAAGCAGCAATCTCTCCCACTTTTTTTTTTCCTCCAGGTTACTTTATATGAATGTCATTCCCAAGGAGAAATCCGTCTGTTGCAGTCGTATGTGGATGCTGATGTATCCTTTTAAGTTAAAAAGCCACTTGTTCGCTTCCTCTATCAAAAATGAAGAGGCTTTGTAGGAAAAAGCATACGAAGGTTTTGTCTGTGATTTAATACTTGCTCATGTGGCACATTCCTTATGTTAGGTCCAAGTCTTACCTCTTTCCCACATCCTAGAGTCCTTCCTATTGAAAAAATACTAAAAATGCAGTCTCGTGGAACACGCTATATTAAAATATTTGAAAACTGATTCTCCATCAGTTTAATCTTCCCAACACTTAATATTTGTGTAATGTTTCACATTTGCTGCTTTACAGTAGTCTCAGCTTCCCTGTGAATTGGAACTGGGTTTAAAGCCGAAGAATTATGTTTCATGCTCTGAAGTGGTCATAATTTGTGTTGATCATTTGCAGTACACAAGTCAATAACTTGTGAACTCAGTCTTGATTCGTCCTCATTTTATTCCCAGTCTTCGGATGTTTTGGAGAAAGAGGTTGAAAAGTGATGCCAAAAGAGAGAAGGTGTTCCTTGTATGTTATGGAACAGAAGTGAGGAAACCGGCACCTATAGAAAAGGCGATGTTGCTTGTATTTGCAGATGTATAATCAAATATGTATCTTTTTCTTATTGGGTCCAGTAGAGACTCCTGGGCACTTGCATAAAATAGCAACAAGTTTACTTAAAAAAAAAATCATGTTGTTTAAAAAAACCAAACAAACAAATCTCCTGTTTCTTCTGTGTTCCTTAACGTAAGATGTTGTAGGCAGATGAAAATTTCTATACCTGTGCGTGGACATATGATAGCAATACAAGCCATCCTCTTCTGGCTGTAGCAGGGTCATGTATCTTTTCTTATTGGGTCCAGTAGAGACTCCTGGGCACTTGCATAAAATAGCAACAAGTACTTAAAAAAAAAATCATGTTGTTTAAAAAAACCAAACAAACAAATCTCCTGTTTCTTCTGTGTTCCTTAACGTAAGATGTTGTAGGCAGATGAAAATTTCTATACCTGTGCGTGGACATATGATAGCAATACAAGCCATCCTCTTCTGGCTGTAGCAGGGTCCAGGGGTATCATTAGGATAATTAATCCTATTACAATGCAGTGCATAAAGGTGAGTGCTCAGAACTTCGAGCAAACAAACAAATCTCCTGTTTCTTCTGTGTTCCTTAACGTAAGATGTTGTAGGCAGATGAAAATTTCTATACCTGTGCGTGGACATATGATAGCAATACAAGCCATCCTCTTCTGGCTGTAGCAGGGTCCAGGGGTATCATTAGGATAATTAATCCTATTACAATGCAGTGCATAAAGGTGAGTGCTCAGAACTTCGAGATACAGCTTGCGTTTCAGTAAGGCATGAAACGTATGTCTTCTAAATACACGTAAACATGAAGGGAAATGATAACTTGGTCTCTGAATTCTATCCCAGCACTACGTGGGCCATGGAAATGCAATCAATGAACTGAAATTCCATCCAAGAGATCCAAATCTCCTTTTATCTGTAAGCAAAGGTGAGGAAAAAAAAACCTCTTTTGTTTTCGTATAAATCAGGGTACTTTGGATTGGATTTTGGTCTTGAAATGGCCAAAACCTCCGTGAATTTTTTATGAATGGCACTGAACAATTTTACCTTGAAAGTTGAGAGCAAATCTTGCTCTTTTATGGCTATATATCTTGTACATATTAAATCCATGGCCTACAATAAACATAACTCCACCTGTGGTGCAAAGGGATTGTGAACAGTACTGCTTTTAGGAAAGAAGAAACACGAGCGTTGGGGCGCTTTCCTTCCTAACAGTTGAGTTACATTTTTTTCAGTTGTTGAATCATGTTGCCATCTAGTGGGGATGTCTTAAAGTCGCAGACAGCGTTTGCCACCGTGCTCATGGGGAAAACTTCGATTCTCTGTCGCTCAGGAGCAGCTCTGACTTTAACTGGACTTTGTGTAAAAAGCATGTTAGTGCAGGGAGAAGCGAGTTTTTGGTATGGTCTCTTATGGACTTGTCGAGAATGTCTAAACAGTCGCAACTTCCTAATCTTGACTGTTTTATTAAGTAAGGGAATACTTGATCTGCCGCAAGAGCAAGCCTTCAGGAATGCTACAGTTGGAAATGTTCACATAAGGGGACTTTTGGCTTTAGCGAATTTGGTATTACTGATGAAGCTACACAAGAATAGGAGTTGGGAACCTCTCTGGTTCTTGCAACTGTCAAGTTTGTGCTGTGGGTCTGTTAACATTGAATTTCTTGAGTTCTGTATATTTTTTAGGTTCTCTTTTTAGTAACATTTTGACGTCAGCCATAGTAAAAGTTTTAACGTACAGTCTCTGGACCAGGTACTATCTCCGAGAGGGCATGAGGCGGGAGAATATTGGAGTCTCAGAACTGCTTGGCTGAGAGATGAGTAGAAAAAGAGGAAAATATTTGGGACTGTGTGGCCTTCCAGTTGATGTTGCTGTAATTCAGTGCAGTGTACTTGCGGAATCCGAAAGGGAAATACAGTAGAGGTCCCCATTTCCAAATGGGAAATACAGTAGAGGTTCTTCATTAGAAATGGTTAAAACTTTCTTTAAACAAGTGGCTTAGTTCGATTGACTTTGGAGTACATATTGTTTCTAGAAACAGTTTCTCCCATCGCTAAAGTCTGTGGTTCATAAAGAATAATATTTTAAAGATTAAAAAACCAGAAAATCAAAACTTCTGTGAATGCTGATGTAAGAATAGCTGAAAGGAGTTCTAGCATTTTTTGATATATACAATTATTTTTGAGAGGAAACTGAATAAAAGCATACTTGT